CTGATCAATGGTTCTCTCTCATCAATGTTTCTAACTCTCTATCCCTCTGTCTTCCTCTCTGTAAAAAATCAATAAAATATATATTTAAAAAAGAATAAAAAAGAAAATGGGAAATATGTGAACACATATTTGCAGCAGCATTGTTGGTAACAGTAAACTTGGAATCAACTTAAATATCCATCTCATTGACAGGAGATTGATTATCCAAATTATGGTGCATCTATGCAGTAATATATGAGGCAGCCATTGGAAAGAATAGAGCCCTAAGAGAAGAAAGCAAGATCAGAGTGTGACACACTAAGAACTGTGTTTCAACAAGCATGCATTCTAGTGAGAGGAACTGAGAGGCTGGGAGACAGGTGAGAATAGGCTTTTTAAAGAAAGCAATTTTAGCCTGACCGGTGTAGCACAGTGGCTGAGCATCAACCCATGAACCAGGAGATCATGATTCCATTCCTGGTTGGAGCACATGCCCAGGTTTCGGGCTTGATCCCCAGCTGGGGCCTGTAGGATACAGCTCATTGATGTTGCTCTCTTTCTCCCTCTCCCTTCCTCTCTCTGAAATCAATAAAAATATATTAAAAAAAAAAAAAAAAACAACAAACAAAAAACAACCTTACAGCTCTAGTTGGTTTGGCTCTCTGGGTAGAGCATTGGTCTACAGACTTAAGGGTCTTGGGTTTGATTCTCCTCAAGGGCACGTACTTAGTTGCAGGTAACTGACCCTGGTCAGGTGTTTGCAGGAGGCAACCAATCTATGTGTCTCTCTCATACCCATGTTTTTCCCTGTCTCTCCCTCTCCCTTCCATTCTCTCTAAAAATCAACGGAAAAATATTCCCGGGTGAAGATTAACAACAATAAAAAACTTACAAAAAGAGATGTCTGGTCTTGCCAAACCCTCAAGAAAAGTAAATTAAAACAATATACCATTCCCCACTGATCAGATTAGCAAATAATGAAATAATACCTTTACCTAGAAATTCTATCTCTACAAACTTATCCTAAGGGAATTAGCATTGTGTGGGGAAAGTTTTGTCTTATATAATAAAAGGATAATATGCAAATAGACCAAAGGGGGGGGGGGGAGTGGTGGAGAAGGGGCGTCTGGTTGCTATGATGCACATTGACCACCAGGGGCAGACATTCAATGCAGGAGCTGTCCCCCTGGTAATCAGCATGCTCCCACAGTGGGAGCGCCACTCAGCCACAAGCAGGGCCGATGGGGCTGGCGAGCGCAGCAGCCGGCCTTCCCCGCAGCATAAGGATGTCCAAGGATGTCTGACTGTGGCTTGGGCCTGCTCCCAGACTTCCCCTGAGGACTCCTAGAATGTGAAAGGGCGCAGGCCGGGCTAAGGGACCCCCAATGCACGAATGCCATGCACCAGGCCTCTAGCCTAGAGAATAAAATTCCTAATTTTAAAAATTCAGAAATAGCTTGGTTGCTGAACAAGAAGCAATTGATCAAATAAATGAGGGCTTAGCCAGGTTATGTAATAAAATGTAGCCATTAAATAGTGATCGGTCTTATACTTAGCAATGGTCATAGCACGGCTAAATGAACAGAGCAGATTGTGTAACAATATGCTATAACCTATGTGTAGGAAGCCGATATAGAGTTAAGCCTCGGACTGACCTGCTGGCAAAATCACAAACAAGTCCCAGCTTGGAGGGCACAGTCCTCTAAGCATAAAGCTTGATCTTGTAGCTTCTCCCGAGATCTTTCCTGGGTGGCTACTGGGCTGGGGGAGGGGCAGCAAGTGCTGCAAAACAAGTGAAACTGACAAGAACATTGTAAACTACCTTGTTTGTTCCTGACCATAAAATAAAGCATCAGCTTCGCAGTCTGGATCTGTTCTGTGGCCTCAGCCAGGCAACGAGGATCCACCGAGACCCAGCTTTTTCTCTTTGTCATTTCTCCATCCTTCGTCCCGCAGCTCAGGTTCGCCTAACCCTTGGCTTTGCTGGCACGGCACACCTATGTATAACGTGAGGAACAGTGTTCCATCTTGGGAAAACGTGCCTATGACTTCTGTAACTCTTAAATGAAAACATAGCCCAAACCGGTTTGGCTCAGTGGATAGAGCGTCGGCCTGTGGACTGAAAGGTCCCAGGTTCGATTCCGGTCAAGGGCATGTACCTTGGTTGCGGGCACATCTCCAGTAGGGGGTGAGCAAGAGGCAGCTGATCAATGATTCTCTCTCATTGATGTTTCTAACTTTCTATCCCTCTCTTTCTCTTTATAAAAAATTAATAAAATATATTTAAATGAAAACATACCTAGAAACCTACAAAATGCTGACAGTGGCTCTTGCGACACAGTACAATCACAGCATTTTTCTTTTGCTTATTTTGGCTCTCTCTCTTTTACTTACATATATGGTGTGTGTGTGTGTGTGTGTGTGTGTGTGTGTGTGTGTGCCATAAATAAACAGGTAAACAAGTCACTAAAGCAATAAGCCTCCTTCATTAAGATGACAATTGAAACAGCATCAACATCAGACATGTTTGGACAAAGCTGGCTGCAGCTAATCCGGAGAATGCTGCTCATATTGTGTTTCTTCCCAGCACCTAACCCGCGCCCAGTCTCTCTCCGCTACCACAAGCCCCAGCTCTTGCCCCTGGAGCTGAGGGGAGGGCAGGTGGGGACAGCCTTCCTGCCAGCGCCTTGTGAGTGGCAGAGGCGCTCTTCCGAGCTGTGGCACTGACTGGCAGTGTGGGATGCCTGAGTTAACCCAGCATGCTCCTATTCTGTGTGGCTGCCCTGTCCCAGGCACTGTGCCAGTCACTGGGAAGGACACGGGCAGGAATTAGTTATGGTCACTGCCGTGATCACAGAGTTCTTACTTGTGAAGAACAGGACCTGTCCCAGTGTAAGCAGGAAAGCAATTTGTGAAAGATGGCAGTAGGCTAGCTCACAGGCAGTGAGTGGCAGTCAGTGGAAGGCCAGAGGCAGACGTGGTGGCCACAAGGCTAGATAAGTCACCCAAAGAACCGCTGCTGATGGCTCCAGCAAGACCTCATTGCTTCTGCTCACAGTCGCTGCCCCTCACATGATGACACTCAGAGACCCTCACCCTGGGAGCCACATCCTCTCCCATCATTCCCAGGGGACTCTGCATGAATCCTCTTTGAGGGCCCTGCTCTGTGAGTCTGATTGTGGAACTCAGGTCACATGCCTGTGACAAGAAGCCAGGAAACAAGCACCCAGCTACGACACTGTGAGAAATTCTTCAAACTTGGTGTTTCCAAAAAATTAGAAGAAGCCCTAGCTGGTTTGGCTCAATGGATAGAGCATGGGCCTGTGGACTGCAAGGTCCCGGGTTCGATTCCAGTCAAGGGCACGTGCACAGGTTGCAGGCTCAATCCCCAATGGGGGTTGTGCAGGAGGCAGCCAATCAATGATTCTCTCATCATGGATGTTTCTATCTGTGACTCTCCCTTCCTCTCTGGTTAAAAAAAAAAAATTATATATAAAATAGAAACTGATGAATGTGCCCCTGACACCCAGGACTTAGATCCAGGGCACTGTGAATGTATGCAGGGGAAAGCAGAAGTGTGCAGGAGACGGTGGCAGTGAGCGGAGAGACAGCTTTTCGGGGAACGAGAGCTAACACACGTGATGTTGGGGGTGACCAGCCTGGTTTTGGGAGTGGTGGGGATGCACCGGACGAATCACTGTGGCGGTCTGGAGAGTTTGGCGAACCCACGGGCTCTGTAAGAAGCCTGAGCTCTCGTCCAGGGTGAGCAGGAACCCGGAGTGGGGTTTCAGGCACTGGAGCAAGCTGTGGGGGAGATAATTTGAGATAAAATGGGGTCATGGTCTGAATTGTGTCCCCCTAAGTCCATATGTTGAAGTCCTATCCCCCAGTACTTCACAGGTGACTGTACTGAAGGCAGTGGCTTTAAAGAGATAATTAAGTTAAAGCGAGGCGGTTAGTTTGGGGTCTAGTCCAAAATGACTGGACTCCTAATGGAAAAGGAGACGGGACACAGGTGCACTCAGAGGGAAGACCCTGGAAAGACCTCTGCACATTAAGGAGAAAGACCTCAGCAGAAACCAATGCTGCCAACAACTTGACCTCACCCTCTGGCCTCCTGGACTGTGAGAAAGTTCGTTTCTATTGTTGAAGAGGCCCAGTCTGAGGTGTTTTGTTACGGTAACCCGAGCTGACTCATGCTCATGGTAAACCCTTAAACATACCTGGAGGCTCGGTATTGCGGCTCCCACAGCTGTACTGGGCGGAAGGAGGGTGAGCAGCTGTTTTTGTTTTTGTTTTGACTATTTCATATCGAGCAGGTGTTTCTGAAGAGCATTGATGAACGCAGAGAAGGCTTGCTCTCAAGGAGCTCACGGAAAGTTCAAGCTGCGTGAGCACCCGGGGCTCATCCAGGGAACCAGGCTGCAGTGCCTTCTTCCACACAGGCCCTCTGCTCCTAGGACGCCCCGGAGGGCGCCCTGGTGGGAAGATGGGGGGCTTGGCCTGCCCATTGAACTGTTCTATTGCCTCTTGGAGGCCCAGGGTCACTGCCAGGCTGTGTGAAATCAAATAAGATGGCATATCATGTGCCCCGCCATCCGCCCAGCATAGGGGAAGGCGCGGCAAAGGGGTTCTCTCCCCCTCTGCTCCTCCAGGTCCAGGGCAAACAAACATCAGGGGTGCCGATGGCAAGATAAACATGTAATCAGGGTGGAGACCTGATTTATGAATAACTCATAATTCATCTGAAACCAGTTTCCTGTTGACAGTCAGACCTCTGTAAACACGAAGTGCGTCCTTGGCACGTTACCTTCCCTGGGGGTGCCAGGCCCCAGAGCCCTTTTCTATATAAGCTGCCGGGACTCTTCCGGATGTACAGGCCTATAAGAACCCTCTTTGCTCGTCACAATGATAGGTAACTGGTTGCTTCATTAGCTCGAGGCCAGAAAAAGGACAAAGGACACACGGTTTATTCCTTATTTGAATGCGCTGTGAAGTGTGTTTCTACTGGATACAACGCAATGGTAAATGTGAGCTAGTTAGGAATCTTCTGTAGATTATTTGCAACTGAATGTACAGCGTGTAACGAGAGGCTGGGAGCTTGAGAAAATCTTAATGAATTAGCACTATTTCTGTTCTCTAAGATCAAAGCTGTTGTTTCTTCTGGTAAGTTCGGGATTCAATTAGGTTTTATACATGTCTCTAATGCTTGGGCCCTAAGGGAGTGATTTGGGAGTTAAATATAATGTCGGAGCTACCGCACGGCCTCGTCACAGATGAGAACGGAGCCTGGGAGGGAGAGCTGGCGGGAGCGAGGTGTCCCTCTCCCGGCCGGCGGTTCCATGTGGGCGGCTCAGTGGACACCTGTGCCTGACTCCCACCCCGGACACTCTGAGTTGATTGGTTTGCAGTGAGTCTTTGGTGATTGGTGTTTTTTTTTAAGCTGCCCAGGTGACTTTAATATTCAGCAAAATTTGAGAACAATCATCCTAGGCCCTTTTCAATATAACATGTTGTATTAAGAAAAAATTTGCATCAAAATCTATAAAAACTCATTGAGATGTCCTTTCTGCCTTCAATTCAAACTTGATCTTTTACAAGTACCCTTTGCTGGAGCCAGTGAAAGGGAATGAGCCGGGCTGCTTTTGGGGTGCAAAGGAGAAGGGGAAGGAAGTGGCCAACGGCAAAGCAGAAGAGGAGGTGGCAGGGTCCTTCAGAATGGACCCTGGGCCTCAGCCCAGAGACTGCCTCAGGAAGACGGAGCGGGAAGAGCAGGAAAACCGTGGGGTGGCATCCTCCTGCTCCATCGGACCTCTCCTCCGCCCGCAGAGTGAACTCTGCAAGCTGCACAGCTGACATTTAGGACTCTTTTTTTTTTTTTTTAAGTATACTTTATTGATTTTTTACAGAAGGGAAGAGAGAGGGATAGAGACTTAGAAACATCGATATGAGAGAATCATCTATCAGTTGCCTCCTGCACACCCCCCACTGGGGACGTGCCTGCAACCAAGGTACATGCCCCTGACCGGAATCAAACCAAGGAGCCTCAGTCCGCAGGCTGACGTTCTATCCACTGAGCCAAACCAGTTTTGGCCTGCTTAAAACTCTTAAAGATGCTGACTCTTGATCTTTTACAAGTACCCTTTGCTGGAGCCAGTGAAAGGGAATGAGCCGGGCTGCTTTTGGGGTGCAAAGGAGAAGGGGAAGGAAGTGGAAGGAAATCTATATATATATATATATATATATATATATATATATATATATATATATATATATATATTATTTATTTCAGAGAGGAAAGAAGAGAGAGAGAGAGAGAGAGAGAGAGAGAGAGAGAGAGAGAGAGAGAAACATCAATGATGGGCTGCCTCCTGCACTCCCCCTACTGCGGATTGAGCCCACAACCTGGGCCTGTGTCCTGGACTGGAATCAAACCTGGGATCCTTCAGTCCGCAGGCTGACGCTCTATCCACTGAGCCACACCAGCTAGGGCAAGATGCCTGGCTCGTGATCATACTGGGAAGACACAAGGAACAGCAACTTACCTGAAGGGACACTATTCCTAGGGGCACTGCCAGCCTGTGTCACCCTAAGCTGACATGAAGCACCTGTTACTGACGTGCAGCATCTGGAAAGTCTAAGGCGGCCTCCCGGCTGCACTGTCCCCTGTGCCTGCCCGTAACGGGTGCTCATCTCGTCTTCGCTGAGTGCAGGGAAGGAAGGGAGCGAAGGGAGGTGAAGGAATAGAACGTGGGAACAGGACAGGACTTGAGAGCCTCTCTACTCAGGTGGCCTCAGCCGAGTCATGGGCATCACCTAGGGGGAGGGGTTTGGATAGAAATTAGGACTCTTTGATCCCACCAAAGCAGAATCTGCATTTTATTTCACAGTTTCCCAGGGATTCATATCCACAGTAAAGAAGCACTAGTTTTGATTGTTTCTTGTGTTTCTCACCTGGGGGGCTTGGTAAAGATGCCAAGGCCGTGGCCCTGTCCTTTTTCAAAGAGCTTGACTGAGACTGTGTGCTCATTATTAGCAGCCTGGGTTACTTTGAAGCCCACTCATATGGAAGAACCTCTGTTTTTACAGAGGAGGAAACTGAGGCTTAGAGAAGGAGAGAGAGAGAGAGAGTGGGGGGGGGGGAGAGAAGAGAATATGGAGGCTATATGTAGATTTTTATCAGCTGGTTAATCTCAAAACTGAATACTTTGCTCTCTTTTTTCACCATCTTTGGACTCCATTTCTGAGTCATTCAATTGGGTGCCTCCGCTCGGAGCAGCAGAAGGTCCGGGAATTCTGCACCCACCACTCACCCTGGGCGGCAGCCCTGGCTTGTGCCCATTGGCGCCTCTGTTCTGTGACTAGATAAAACAAGACATCCAACGTTTCTCTGATCACCAGCACCTCTCAGGAGCACCATTTCTGGATGAAGGGAGTGGAAATTCTATCAATAAGACTGGCTTTTTCATTTGTTTTTGTTTGTTTTGAGAGAAAAAGTTCAGGTTTCCACAATGATCTGAAGCTGAAGCTTATGTAAAAGAATGAAACAGAGAGAGCAGGTGCAACCTCTAGTTCTGGTGTGAACTGACTATATTGAGAGTTTATTGTAGGAATTCATTTATTTCTTTTGGTTATAAAACTAATGCCTTTCATTATAAGCAATTTAGAAAATTAGAGGGAAAGTTCAAAGAGAACTCCCACAGCTCAAAAATCACTTGTTAGAATTTGGTACAAAAACTTTCATCTCTTCGAGCATCTCTTTCAATGTGGATTTTTCCCACATCATAGGGATACCGCGCAGACGTTTTGTGACATGCCTTCTTTAACGTGTCCTAACAGTGATCATTTATGTCATTTCATATTCTCTTGCCTCCTAAGTGGACCAGGTAGGTCTGTTTTCAGAGTCACCATGTTCTCAAACAGCCCTGTTTGGGCATTTGGTTGATTCATTTCCCTGCTGCAGTGAGCATCCAAGAGGCAAAGTCTGTCCTTCTCTGTGCCATTCCTAGGACCAGGTCTTAGAAGTGAAAAGGTAAAGTCAAATGCTGTAACATATTTTTGTTTTTGTTTTTTTAATGTTTTTATTGATGAGAGAGAGAGAGAGAGAGAGAGAGAGAGAGAGAGAGAGAGAGAGAGAGAGAGAAACATTATTTAAGAGAAATATTGATCGGTCCTACTGGGGATCAACCCAGACATGTCCCCTGACCAGGAATCAAACCAGCAGCCTCCTGGTGCATGGATCAGCACTCAACCAGCTGAGCAACACCACCAGGGCTGTTGTAAACAATTTGGAGAATATGGATGCATACTTTTCAGTTGTTCTCCATAAACATTATTCAAACATAAACCAGCCTTGTGCATTTTACTTCCTAGATATGCCTTTATTTCACTCTGGATATTATAAATGAAATAATTATTTTTGTCATATGGTTCTATTTTATATACAAACTTACATTTCTGGTCTTGGCAGTAACTTGAACTTTTCCATGTCTCTGTTCATCATTTCTATTTGTATATGTGTGTTATTTTTTGTTGTTGCTGTTAATCCTCACTCGAGGATATTTTTTTCCTTTGAGAGAAAGAGTGGAACGATGGGAGGGAAGTAGAGACAGATATACATTGATGTAAAAGAGACAAATCAATTCCTCCTGCCTCCTGCCTGCCGCCTGCCTGCGCCCAATCTCAGATTGATGTTTCTCTCTTCTCTCTTTCTCTATCTCTTTCCTTTCTGCTATCTCAAATCAGTAAAAACATATACTCAGGCAAGATTTTTAAAAATATATTTTTTATTGATTTTTTTACAGTGACGAAGGGGGAGGGATAGAGAGTTAGAAACATCGATGAGAGAGAAATGTTGATCAGCTACCTCCTGCACATTCTCCACTGAGGATGTGCCCACAACCACGGTACATGCCCTCGACCAGAATCAAACCTGGGATTCTTCAGTCCACAGGCCGATGCTCTACCCACTGAGCCTAACTGGTTAGGGCCTCAGGCAAGGGTTTTTTTTTTTGTTTTTTGTTTTGTTTTTAAAGCACACTAACATTATTTTATTGGCCTATGACTTGGACTCACATTTAGCTTTTCCCCCTGTTTATTTTGGTAACTTGTGTAGATGTTGTTCCTTTGAAGCTCCTCCTATGAGCCACCTGCCAGAGCCCAGCAGGGGTCCTCATGCAGGACACTCAGTCACTGACCGCCATCTGAATCAGTTTGTTTTTCTTCCTAGCCCTTCTTCACATTGCAGAATGCTCTTCTGGGAAGCCTTGTGGTCTTGGCCAGCATTGTGACGCTATGTAATGCCCAGTGCTCTTTTATACCTAAAATATATCGTCCAGGTGACAAACTTAACGGTAAGTCCCAGCTTTTCAAGTGTATTATTTTACTGCAGCTTAACCTGTTGGCAGAGGAAGGCCTTTACATCCACATGGGGAGGAGGGGTAGGGCGAATATCAAATAAGTCGAATGAGAGACTTTAATTTGTCACTGTATGAGACAGTATTTCTCAACCCGAGGTGTAGGAGAATTGCCTGGAAAGCTTTTGAAACCTACTAATGCTCAAGGGCCATCCAATCTGAGGCAAATCAGAATCTCTGGGGTGGGAGCTGCACAGCTTATTGCTTTTGGAATCACCCCTATATGCAGGCAAAGAACCATCAATATTCCAAAGCAGGGCTTTCCAGACATCAATGTGCACATGAACGCTCTGAGAATCCTACTAAATGAAAAGTTCTGGTTCTGTGGGCCTGCATGTCCAACACAGCCTCGGTAGTGCCGATGCTACTAGTTCCTCCAGCTCACCTGGACCAGCACGGGTGAAAGCAGCAATTCTGACCGCTGGCCGAATGTTTGAATCACTGGGGAGCTTTGGGAACATGTGGCAGTCTGGACTACCATATTGTAGTCTCTCACGGCCAGAGAGACTCATTGTTCTGAGGTGGGACCCAGGCATAGATTTTTATGCCCAGATGTTTTACATGTGCATTTAGGGCTGAGAAGCAAAGCAAAGAGAATTAGTAAAATGAATCATTTATCCAGAGACAATCCAGCCAAAAAAGAACACACACACACACACACACACACACACACACACACACACACACACACAACAAAAAACAAACAAACAAAAAAAACTTGGTTCCAAGTACCCCTAGGATTATAAAGCTACCTGATAAAAGAGGAAGGCCAGGACCGGTTTGGCTCAGTGGATAGCCTGCGGACTGAAGGGTCCCGGGTTTGATTCCGGTCAAATGCATGTTACTCTGGTTGCGGGCACATCCCCAGTGGGGCGTGTGCAGGAGGCAGCTGATCGATGTTTCTCTCTCATCGATGTTTCTAGGTCTCTATCCCCCTCTCTTCCTCTCTGTGAAAAATCAATAAAATATATTTTTTTTAAAAAAGAGGAAGGCCTTATTTTTTCCTTGGAATATTTGTTCTGAAATAAGATCTGGAAGGACTTAAGCTTGCTGTAAGAAGACATGATTGGTGAAATGAACTGTATAGTACTGGAATTTAGCTGTGGGTGACCACAGAAGCACTTTTCTTTCTTTTTTAAAAATATTTTTTTAAATTTTTTATTTCAGAAAGAAAGGAAGAGGCAGAGAGAGAGATAGAAACAGCAATGATGAGAATCATTGATCGGCTGCTTCCTGCACGCCCCACACTGGGGATCGAGCCTGCAACCCCGGGCACGTGCCCTGACCTGGAATCAAACTGTGACCTCCTGGTTCAGAGGTCCATGTTCAGCCAGAGAGCCACGCTGGCCAGACCACAGAAGCACTTTCCTTAGACACCCTTAAATTGATGAGATTCTCCCTCTCTGGGAGGGGCACAGGTGGCAGGGCTGGCCCCAGTGTCCCTCCAGCCTTGTTCCAGCTGCGTGCCTGGAGGATGCCACTGATGATGCCACACGTGTTATTTTAGAATGCAGGGATCTCGATGGAGTCACCTACCCGATGAACTCCAAGTGGAAGAATAATAAATGTGAGGAGTGTTCTTGTAACTCAGCTGGAATTGACTGCTGCAACATGTAAGTCTCAGCCAGAAGGGCCAACAAGGGGGTGCAGCAACGAGGGGGCTGCTCTGAGGTACAGCACCTCCCTCTTTCAAAATCCCATTCTGAAGTGTTTTCCTTTTCAGCACTATTTCTTTCTTTTTTTCCTTTTAATATATTTTTATTGATTTCAGAGAAGAAGGGAGGGGGAGGGAGAGATAGAAACACCAATGATGAGAGAGAATCATTAATCAGCTGCCTCTTGCTTTGGGGATCAAAACCCCAACCCCTGCCTGTGCCCTGACCTGGAATCAAACCATAACCTCCTAGTTCATAGGAGCCATGCCGAATAGGCCCTATTTCTTTCTTTCTTTTCTTTTCTTTTTTTTTTTTTAATTGTGGTAATGAAAACTGGGGACTGTCTCCCCAGGAAAGATTTACTTTTTTTAAGTTAAATTAAAATTTATCTTAAAAAATGTTTTTAACATAAAAAAATTTAGCATTTTATGTTAAATATGGAATATTGATGGCTCTTTGCCCGCATATAGGGGTGACTCCAAAAGCAATGAGCAGTGCAGCTCCCACCCCGTTTCAAATTAAATGGTGTTAAAAAAAATTTTAACATAAAATTTAGCATTTTAATTGTTTTAAGTGTAGAATTCAGTGACATTAAGTACATTCACATTTTTGTGCAACCATTTCCACCATTCACCTTCAGAACTTTTTTATCTTCCCTAACTGAAACTCCCTACCCAGGAAATACCTCCATTTCCTCCTTTCCCCAGTCCCTGGCAACCACTATTTTACTCTCGTCTCTATGAACCCACAACTCTAAGTGCCATTGTACAGTATTTGTCCTTTTGTGCCTGGCTTTTCACAGTATAATGTCCTCAGGGTTCATCCATGCAGCAGCCTGTTTCATAATTAGGCTGAAGAATGTTCCATTGTGTGTGTGTTCCAAGAGCGTGATGAATCCTGACATTGCACCCTTTAATGTGTGGGTGGACTTTCCTGGGGAGATGGTCCCCAGTTTTCATTAGCTGCTCCTGGGCTCCGTGATCCTGGCCTGGCGTGACTCTGTTCCTGTGGCTTAGCCAGCTCCGATTCCCATGGGAATGGACAATCTTTCCCTTCCCACCTTCAAGCAGCAGAGCTGCTGGTCACTCCCTGAGCCAGGACAACAAGAAGTCAGGCTAGAGCAAGCTGCCTGGCCCTGGGGGCCCGGCCTGCCTTTGGGCCTCTCTGAGTTTGCTTCGTTCTGTGATGCAGGATGGAACTTAGGAACTATGTCAGGGATGGTCTATGTGCTCATAGACCAGGTTCTATGTGTTCAAATCCAGGTTCCTGAAGTCAGCACTTCGGGGTTGCAAACTAAACGGTGATCTTAAGTTGCTCAGGGGCACCCTAGACAGCAGGAGTGTGTGCTGACCCTGACCCAGAGCTGGCCCAGAGAAGGCTGGGCATCCTATCCTTTCTTAAAAAAAAATAAAATAAATCTTTATTAATGAAAGTATTACATATATCTCCCTTTCCCCCATTGACCCCTTCTAGTCCACCCCCTCCACCTGTCTTTAAAAAAAAATCTTCATTGTTGAAAGTATGACGTATGTCCCTTTTCCCCCATTGGCCCCTTCCAGCCACCACCCTCCCCCCCTCCCCATCCCAGGATCTGTGTCCATGGGTCGTGCATATGTGCATACAAGGTCTTTGGTTTGTTACTTTCCACCCACCCTCCCTCCCTCACCTTCCCTTTGAGATTCCACAATCTGTTCCAGGCTTCCATGTCTCTGATCCACTCCATCAGTTTATTTTGTTACTTAGTCTTCACATAAGAGTGAGATCGTGTTATACTTATCTATCTCTGACTGGCTTATTTCATTTAACATAATACTCTCCAGGTCCCTCCATGCTGTCTCAAAGGATAACATTCGCTTTTATTGCTGCATAGTATTCCATGGTGTAAATGTGCCACAGCTTTTTTACCTACTTATCATCCACTGATGGGCACTTAGATTTAGGTATTATAAATTGTGCTGCTATGAGTATAGGGGTGCATATATATTTTTTTAAATTGGTGTTTCAGGTTTCTAGGATATATTCCTAGAAGTGGGATCAGTAGGTCAAATGGCAGTTCCATATTTAATTATTTGAGGAAACTCCATGCTGTTTTCCACAGTGGCTGCACCAGTCTGCATTCCCACCAGCACTGTACTAGGGCTCCCTTTTCTCCACATCGTCGCCAGCACTTGTCATTTGTTGATTTGTTGATGGAAACCATTCTGATAGATGTAAGATGATACCTATTGTCATTTTAAAATGCATCTCTCTGGCCGAAACCGGTTTGGCTCAGGGATAGAGCGTCGGTCTGCGGACTGAAGGGTCCCGGGGTTCGATTCCGGCCAAGGGCATGTACATTGGTTGCGGGCACATCCCCGGTAGGGGGTGTGCAAGAGGCAGCTGGTCAGTGTTTCTCTCTCATCGACATTTCTAGCTCTCTATCTCTCTCCCTTCCTCTCTGTAAAAAAAATCAATAAAATATATTAAAAAAATATATATATATATTTTATTGATTTTTTACAGAGAGGGAGAGGTATAGAGAGCCAGAAACATCAATCAGCTGCCTCCTGAACACCTCCTAGTGGGGATGTGCCTGCAACCAAGGTACATGCCCTTGACTGGAATCAAACCTGGGACCCTTCCGTCCATAGGCCAACACTCTATCCACTGAGCCAAACTGGTTAGGGCCCACTTTTTAATTGGATTGCTTGTCTTCCTTTTGTTAAGTTGTATGAGTTCCTTATATATTTTGGATATTTTAACAGATGTATCATTGCCAAATATGTACCCCCATATAGTGGGCTCCCTTTTTACTCTTTTGCTATGCAGAAACTTTTTATTTTGATGCTGTTCCATTTGTTTATTTTCTCCTTAGTTTCCTTTGCCCTAGGAAAACATATGGCTATAAGAGATGTCGGAAACATTGCTATGTATGGTTTCTTCTAGGATTTCTATGGTTTCATGACTTACATTTAAGTCTTTTATCCATTTTGAGTTTATTCTTGTATATGGTATAAGTTGGTCTAGTTTCATTTTTTGTTTTGTTTTAATAAATCTTTATTGTTCATATTATTACAAATGTTCCTCTTCCCCCCCTTCCCCTCCATTGCTCCCCTCCACTGGGTTCCCACCCCACCCTCTGCCCTTTCCCCACCCCTCATTGTCCTCATCCATAGGTGCACAGTTTATGTTCAGTCTCTTCTCACATCCCCCTCTCCCCTTTTCCCTGAGAATCGTCAGTTCACTCCCCTTCCAAACCTCTGATTCTATTATATTCAACAGTTAATATTGTTCATCAGATTTTTTTTAATTTCTTAGATTTTTAGATTCACTTGTTGATAGTTACGTATTTGTTGTTCATAGTTTTTATCTTTATTTACTTTCTCTTCCGAAAGAACCCCCATCAGCAATTCATATAATTCTGGTTTGGTGGTGAGGAACTCCTTTAGTTTTTTTTTTTTTTATTAGTGAAGCTCTTTATCTGGCCTTCGATTCTGAGTGACAGCTTTGCTAGAAAGATTATCTTTGGCTATAGGTTCTTACTATTCATCACCTTAAGTATTTCTTGCCATTCCCGTCTGGCCTGCATGATTTCTGTTGAGAAATCAGCTGACAATCGTATAGGTGCTCCTTAAAGTAGCTCTTGCTGCTTTTAATATTCTCTCTTTGTCTTTTGCTCTTGGAATTTTAATTATGATTTGTCTTGGTGTGGTCTTCTTTGGATTCCTCTTGTTTGGAGTTCTGTGCACTTCCTGGACTTGTGAGTCTAATTCTTTCACCAGGTGGGGGAAGTTTCTGTCATTATTTCTTTCAGTATGTTTTCGATATCTTGCTCTCTCTCATCTTCTGGGACCCCCATAATTCTGATGTTGGTTCGCTTGAAGTTGTCCCAGAGTTTTCTTACATTATCTTCAACTTTCTGGATTCTCTTGCCTTCTTGCTTCTGTGGAGGAGTGTCTTCTGGTTCTTTATGTTCCAAATCTTTGACTTGATTCTTGCAATCTTCCATTCTGTTTTTAGGACTCTGTATAATATGTTTTATTTCAGACAATGTATTCTTTATTTCTTGTTAATCCCTTATTATTTCTTGTTGATTCCTTATTATTTCTAGTTGATCCCTTTTCATATCCTCATAGGACTTATCAATCTTTTCTAGAAAATTCTTGAAAAACATTATAAGCGTGGTTTTGAACTCTATATCCAGTCACTTTTTGTCCTCCATTTCTTTCGTTTGTGATCTATTTCCTTGTCTCGGCATTTTCGCAGCTTCCCTGAGTTGGTAGCCTTAAAAGTCTCTGTGTTCTGTTTGGATGGGGCAGAGTTTCAGGGTGGAGCCTACAGCCTTGGCTTCCGTCAGCCACGTCAGCCACGTCAGCCACGCCCTATGCGGCTCCTGAGTCTCAGTGTTTCTCAGGGTCCTTCGGAACTCACTGCAAGCGCCTCTGAGAGTGAGGTGCCCTCGAGTTTCGCCTGCTACCAAACAGTCTAGTCTCTCCCCCAATGAGCCTGGAACTGGGGTTCAGTTCAGTTGGAAGTGGGGTTGGAAGTGGGGTTCAGAGCAGTCTGGAGCTTTTGTCTCCTTCCTGCCAGGGCAATCCCACGGCACAGCCAACCGTCCCTTCTCTGCGCGCAATGTGCGCGCCTCCGGGGGCTCTGCCTTTCGCTGCTCCCCCGGGTTTCCGCCTTATAACCCAGTCTCCCTCTGGGTCCCCGGGGTCTGGCCTAGAACTGGTGTTCAGAGCAGTCGGAACTGGGGCCCAGCACAGTCCGGAGCCTTTGTCTCCTTCCCGCCAGAGCAATCTGGCAGCAGGGTCAACAGTCCGTCCTCTGCGTGCAATGTGTGCGCCTCCGGGGACTCTGCCTTTCACTGCTCTCCTGGGATTCCACCTTACAGCCCAGGCTTCCTCTGTATGTGCCTGGGCCCCCAGGGTCTGGCCTAGAACTGGGGTTCAGTGCTTTGGGTCTCCTTCCCGCTAGGGAACACCAGTCAGGTACTCAGCCTCCCCTCCTCTCCGGCTCTGTCCTCTTCGCGCTTGTAGCGTGTCTCCGTACCTTAGGCTTTTATAGCTCCTCTGATTTTCTTTCTGGTTTTCTCTTTCCTTCTTGTTGTAGAATTTTCAGTCAGTCAACTTTCCTGTAGTTCTGGGCAATGTCCATTTTATATTTTAGTTGTATTTTATTGAAATTGTTGTGTGCAGCTGCAGTTAGGTGTTTACCTGTGCAGCCATCTTGGATCTTCCATGTCATTTTTTTTTTTTTTTAATGTATCTGTTCAATTTCCCCAACACCATGTATTGAAGAGATTGTCTTGGCTCCATTGTATGTTCTTGTGTTCTGAGTGTAATGGCTTGGATCTGTATCCTATCCTTTCTAATTGGCTTTGCTTTTGTCTCACTGGCAGTGCTGCTGTACCTGTGGGTTACAACAAATTGAAATGCAATATGTTATTCAACCCGAAAACCTGCACCTACACAGTGGTGGAGAAAAAGAATCCAGAAAAGTTTTGTGATGTCCAGCAATGGGTGATGTAATGTGCTTCTCGTGGGCCCGTGGCTCCCAGACAGAGGCTCCAGGTCCTCCAAGACAAGGCCTCATTTTCCTTGGCCTTTAACAGACTATGATTGTATGATCCTACCTGTTTGTAAAAAATTAAATGAGTAAAAATTGAGCAAACATTTGAATATGTGTATACTTGCAAGTTACAAATTATGTATGCATTGATTTTTATACATATTAAAAAGCACTCAAACATTTAACAGAGGGAACAAAAAATAAATATGAATAAAGTTATATTTTTCCTATACTCCAATAAATCACTGTACATTCCCACTTAGGCACCACTGCTTCTGTTGCTGCTGATATAGCATCTGCACTTTGCTGTCCTGGTGTCCTGCTATCTTGTGAACAATTAAAAAAATAAACGTGTCTTCTAAATGAAATCAGATCCCTTATTTTCTTTGGGTTTTTCATATTTATGCTTCCTTCATTCCTCTTCTTTTTCTTAAATATATATATATATATATATTTACAATATATTCTTATTGATTTCAGAGAGAAAGAAGGAAGGAGAAAGAAATAGAAACATCAATGATGAGAATCATTGATAGACTGCCTTCCACTCACCCTCCACTGGGGACTGAGCCTGCAACCTGGGCATGTGCCCTGACTGGGATCAAACAATGACCTCCTGGTTCATAGGTTGAAGCTAAACCACAGTGCCACACTAGCCGGGCTCCTTCCTCTTCTTTACAGAGTGTGCTCCATGCTGTGTTCCTCATTTACCTCTGCTTGCCTGAGGTTGGAGCAGAGGAAGAAGTAGCTCTGAGACCACGTGCAGCATGATGCGGTATTAAAGGCCAGGGGTGCTGGCTTAGGAGAATGGCTTGAGAATGATAGATTAAATAGAGAAGGTAGACCAGAGACTGGGATGGCAGGACACACGCTTTATTGGAGGGAAGGGTACCCCTGCCGGCTGCTCACAAGGAGAGGAGCAGAAGAGAGCTAGGGGCTTACAAGCACCTTTAAGGATAGAGGGCGGGGCTTAGGGCACTCAGCACATGCTGATTGATTAGGGACCTAGGGACTTAGGAATGAGGGCTTAGGGTATTTGGCAGGTGCTGATTGGTGGTTCAGAGCTCAGGAATGTCTGACCGCAGGTGGGGTTTATGTCTGTCCATCAACTGGAGAAAGGAACGATCTATTATTCCAGGCTTCTGGTAATATTTTTTAAAAAATTGAGAGTCATGCCGAAATCGGTTTGGCTCAATGGATAGAGCGTCGGCTTGGGGACTGAAAGGTCCTGGGTTCGATTCCGGTCAAGGGCATGTACCTTGGTTGCGGGCATATCTCCAGTAGGGGGTGTGCAAGAGGCAGCTGATCGATGATTCTCTCTCATCGATGTTTCTAACTCTCTATCTCTCTCCCTTCCTCTCTGTACCAAATCAATAAAATATATTTTTAAAAAATATTGAGAGTCTGAACAAGGTCAGGGGGCGAAGGTCAATCTTCCGTTTCTACTTCTAGCTGTGAGGAGGCGTCGTTTCTTAGGGGCGTCTACTCGGGGTCTCAAAGATTCTGATGTTTGGTTCTGAATTCAGTGCCACCTTCTGGTTGGCGAATTCTGTTCTGCAAAAGACTAGTGAAACAATGCATGAGACATGGGCCAAAGAGCAAAATTAAGAGTATAAATACCAGTGGGCCTAATAGTGGGAAGAGCCATGGGGTAAGTGAGCAAAAAGCAGGTAGTGTTTTTCCGTGCTGGTCGAGGGGTGCAGCAGCATGATTTCTCCAAGAGGCTGGTTGATGAAGAGAGCGTCCTGTTGAGTCATTTGGGGGGTAAAAGCTGGTTCTAAGGCTGCCACGGCATTACTTGTCTGGTTTTGCTGTTTCTCTGGGCCTGGAGCTGAAAAACAACCTGGGGGGTAAGATTCTTGGGGATGTAAAAAGGTGGGACTCCTTGGTGTAACCTGGATTCCAGTCAGGACCATGGGCAGAAGGTCCGGCCAGGAGCTGTAAATTTCTAGAGAGAGAGTTTAGTTAGATGGTCTTTAAGGAAGCTGGTGCTCCTCTGGATCTTATCCGATGAGTGTGTGTGGTAGGGTGTGTGCAGTTTCCAGGAGATGCCAGAGATGATGTGTGTTATCCTCAGCAGCTTTCTTGCAGGTAGGGAAGACCTTTCTTGCAGGTAGGGAAGGTCTTCTTGTGTGGAGGCATATGGGTGAAGTCTACCTGCCAGTCCTGTCCTGGGAGGTGTCCCCTCATTTGATGGGTAGGAAAGTTGGGGTGCATTCCTCCTTGGAGTGAGGCAGCTGCACACGTGGAACAAGAAGAGCAGGCACTCATCACTGCCTCTCGCAGTGGGAGAGGGGAAGAGTGATGAAGGCCATCTCCAGAGTGTTACAATCGCGTAGGAGGCTTTCCGTTCGTGGGGGTCTAGACACAGCTTCATTCACAAACAGAGTTAAATCAGGATTAGAGAGAGGGACCTGAGAGTCCTGCCCAAGGTTGAGTGAGGGCCTTTGATGACCTCGGGGCAGGAGTGCTTTGCTGCAGTTTGAGTGGAGGCAGCAGGAAGGAGAGTGGCTGGGTTCAGGGCTGGGGACTGGGTTAGGGAGACATCAGGACTCTCGAGGAACAGGAGATGGAGTTCCTGCACGCGAGAGGGTGCAAGGAGAGATAAGGATCGGTGTGACGGAAAATCCTGTAGCCTATGGGTGGAGAAGACCTGTAAGGGTTGCTGGAGGCAGATCTTCTGGGCCTCCTTGATGAGAAGAGCAGCTGCAGCCAGAGCCCAGAGGCAGGGCTGCAGTCCCAAACTGTGGGATCAAGCTGTTTGGTCAGGTAGGCTATGGGGTGAGGGCTGGCCCTAGGGGCTGGGTGAGGACCCCCATGGAGAGAGAGAGACACCAGAGGGGTGTCCCGGAGTTAGAGAAAGTGAAGGAGGGTGAGGAGACTTGGTATAAGGGCTTAGCTAGGAGAGAAAATTTGGAAATCCTACCAGTGGAGGCCAGCTGTTGCCTCTGAGACGTGTAGTGCTGGGTTCTAACAAGCATTCTTGGAGGTCTCTGGGTAAGGCCTGGCCAAACAGGTGACTATCTCTGAACCCCTGGGGCAGGATTGTCCAAGTGAGTGGGAGACAGATGTGGAGCTGAAAGATAACTGAGACCTAGATGCTATTTTTTAGGGGGAAAAGAGTAGGGGTCTTAATTGCCTCACTAGTGATATGAAAGGGGAGAATAGGTTACCGTTGGAAGTAGGTTCTTGTTTTTCCAGTTTTACCCCTTGCTGGGCATCCACAAGTTTCTTGTAGTTCCTGAGACAGGGTTTCAAAGTAGGTAGAGCAGTGGTTACGGGGACAGGTAAAGACTGATCATTGAGGCTGCATCTACGTTGGGTGAGAGATAGATGAGAGTACAGGTTCCTGTCCAGCTGATGGGGAGACAGATGTATGAGTTTTCCCCACAGAGGAAGAAAATCCCTGATGATGGAGTCAAGCTGATAGGTGTAAGGAGAAGAGGTGGACTAAAGGGTATGAGATTCCTTTTCTAGTTCCGCACTCCAAGCTGAGAGAGTAGATGAGTGATTGAGACTGTGTGGCAGTGAAAGTGGGAGGGAAAGGGGAAGGAGAGGAGTAGTGAAAGCCAGGGACCTGGATGGTTGGATAAGAGGTTAGAGACTGTGAATAGTCCGGTTTAGCTTAAGAAGTATCCAGCAACCTTGTCCCCGACAGGGCTTGGGGACTGCAGCCTTACTTTCTTGCTTAGGAAAGGGGCAGGAGGCAGGGAGGGAGCAGGCTCCGCAGCTGTTCCCAGGTTAGCCAGGCCTCTAGCTGCTTGAGTTTTTAAACTGCCCGCATTCTTCCTAGCGCTAGAGGAATAAGGCACCTACAGTCCCAGGAATGGCTGGGTCTCGTGGGTCGAGAGAGTGAAACTGAGGTAGGTGACTGTGGTTTGGGACAACAGGGCTTTATGAGCGGATGCACAGTAGCCCTAGCCCAGCACTGAGGTAGAATGAGGGAATCTGAGATGGCTAGTGGCTGTGAGACTGATCTGTCAACCCCCATAATAGAGACTGAGGAGGGGACAAGGGTCCCACGAATGCAGAGAGGGCAGAATGAGTGGTCACAGTGTCCATTAAAAAGGAGATCGGCTTACCTGCCACCACAGTAGTTACCCGAGGCTTGGTCCTGGTGATGTGAGTCTTTGGGGCCCTGTCAGGGCCTGGACAGCTTCTTCGGTGGCCAGTCCCAGGAGGTCTGGGAGCTCCAAACCGGATCCAGAGAACGGCCTTGCTGGACTCGCTGAGGCCAGACCGGAGGGCCAGACGACAGTCTGATTTCCGTGGCCTTCCCTCCGCACCTGGGGCAGGGCCCAGGGGGGGTCTCGGGTTTGAGCAGGACTTGGCTCAGTGTCCTTCCTTGCTGCATTTGAAGCTGGGCCCAGAGGAGGCTTAGCCTCTGACTCTCGAGAGGACTGGCACTTCGTTTGGGGTTTGTGAGAGTGGTGGCCAGGAGCTGGAAGGCCTCCTACTGGGCCTCAGTGTGGGCATGTGACAGGTCATAAGCAAACAGTCTTCTGCCGAACAATCTGTGGACAATCGGTAGAGAGCTTTATTTCTCCTCTGAACTCTAATCCTAGCTCTTCAAACAAGTTATTGGACTATTAAGCAAACCTGGGCAGACCCCTTAGTTTTTTGGGGACTTCCATAAGATAATAATTTTTTTTTTTTTAAAGTGGCTTGGTTACTTTTAGTTGATCTGCATCTGAATTGGAAAGGAAATGGGGGAGGGGTGCGTTGAGGGTGTGGTGCAGGCTTGGCTCCCTGGGCTTGTGGCAGTGCTCAGGGTGAATACTCCCAGGAGGGGCTCTCTGACTTTCTTTACTGCTCCCTCTCCTCCACAGCTTCCCTTCAGCTTAAAGTCGGTGACGAAGCCCCCTGAGCTTCTGCATATGAACCTGTTTCCTGTTGCTTTTGGCTGAGATTGCCTTGCTCCTTGTAGGATGCACTCTTGGGTGGGGTCCATAAAACCCTA